AAGAAGATCTGCAGCACTAGCGTGCAAAAGATTGAGAGGGTCTCACACATTTGACATGCTTGCTGGTGCGCTTGATGATATCCATTGCCAATACAAGATTAGAGGCAAAGTTGTAAGAACCACAACTGATAGTGGATCCAACTTGGTCAAGGCCTTCCACATGTTTGGGGCACAAAATGACGTAGATGAAGCTGAAGATGAAGCAGACCCAGAAACTCTTGACCTGACTGACCATATTGACTACCATGAGGCAAGTGCAATTCTTGATGAAGACTCTGGTTTGGAGTATCAACTCCCGCCTCATCAGCGATGTGCATGTCACCTGCTAAACCTTGTGGCAACAACTGATGCTGCCCTAGCAGAGAGCATGAATGAAACCTACAAGAGGCTCTCCCGTGCAACCTTTGCAAAATGCCAGGCCATTTGGAACAAAACTGGCCAGTCTCATTTGGCTAATGAAGTGGTAGAGGACAAGTGTGAGCTACAGATCATTCGTCCCAATGCAACACGATGGAATTCAACCTACCTTGCCATTGAAAGGATAATACGCATCATTGATGAGAAGGGGGAAGATGCCATCAGGAGCATTTGTGAGGAATTCAAGGTGAAAATGTGAGTAAAATTGGACACCTACCAATATGGTTGCAAATTTTGTAAATTTTACTTAATGGATGGTTAAAAACGTGAGCAGACTCTTAATATTAAATCAGAAGATCCCTATTATAGTCACGGTGGGTTTTGTTGTTGTGTCTTACAGGTTGAGTCCTGCAGAAGTTGCATTCCTTAGGGAGTACTGTACCACCATGAAGCCACTGGTGAAAGCTTCAAACATCCTTCAGTCTGAGTCCACTTCCTTTATGGGATGGCTCCTGCCAGTAATCCAACAACTACTGTCCAAACTTAGCAGGCTGGAGACATCAAGCAAGACATGTGTGCCACTCATCAGAGCCCTGCAAAATGGCCTTCAAAAGTGTTTTGGAGCGATGATGGAGGATCCAGAGTTGGCTGCAGCTGCAGTCCTCTTACCCAAGTTCAAGACTTCCTGGACTGACAGAGCAGATGTAATTGAGGCTGGTAAGGATTCATGTGATCCCATTTTTGTGTATTTTTACATTTGAACACATGCTTAAGTGAGTATTTCACCTAATACATTGTAAGTTATTGATGGTTTGTCCTGAATACTAAACAATCCTTTTTGAGAATTTGCCGATTTTAAATTTGTGTTCAGGAATAATCACTGAAATTTAAATAACAAAATTGTATTATCTACTTGCAATTACAGCCTTGACATACATCAAACAACATCTTGAAACGACAGAGCATGAGAGTGAGGATCAGCAAAGAGAGTCATCTGATGAAGATGAATTCTTCTCCAAACCAATCTCAGAAGGCTGCAAAGTGCAGTTGAGCTTGATGGTTACCTTGCTCCTTCTCAGCCATCAAAAACCTCTCTCTTAAACTGAACACAGCTCTGCCTGCTTCTGCTACGTGTGAACGACTTTTTAGCTGTGCTGGTCTACTCTTCACAGCCAAACGAAGTCGGATTGCCTCTGTTAATTTAGAAAACCAGCTCTTGCTGAAACTGAACAAAAGGTTCAGAAAGTAAAGTGTGACAGAAATGCTAAGAGTTTAAGACACTTACCTGCCTGTTGTTCAGTGTATGGGGAAAAATTTAAACGGTTCTACGCATGTTCAGAAACATTTTTGTCATTGTTTTAACAAACAAAATTCCTTCTTTTATATCTACATTTATTTACAAAACAAGTTACCTTTCTATACCTTGTTCATCTGAGAAATGTGCTTTGAACATAAATATTTATACTGGTGAATCGAGTTGAATGCCTGCTATTGACGACAGAATAAAACATTGGTCTGTTAAAAAGTAATTAATACTCTGAGTAGTTTTTGAGAAGAGTACTTTGTACTTTTACTCAAGTATTTTTTTAACACCAGTACTTTTACTTGTAATTGAGTACAATTTAACGAGTGTAACAGTACTTGAGTACAAATTTTGAGTACTCTTTCCACCTCTGATACACACATACATACATATGAAAAACACCCAGCACGCCTCTGCGGGCGGTTTATCCTTCAAGCTCGGGTCCTCTACCAGAGGCCTGGGAGCTTGAGGGTCCTGCGCAGTATCTTAGCTGTTCCCAGGACTG